CCAAAGGGGTTTTGATAAAAATATTTTTTTTTTCGGGGCCCCCCCCCCCCCAGGGCATAAAAAAAAGGGGCCCCCCCCCCCCCCCCCCCCCCCCCCGGCCCCCTCTTCTCATCCAACAAACAACAGTGTCGGGCTTGCGTAAGATTCTAAAGAAGCACGACAAGCAGGTGAGGGACAAGCTTATAGCCAAGAACTACCTCAGCACCCGGGCGAACGAGAAGTACTCGTCGATGCGGCAGCTGTACAACAACGCCGGAGTCATGGCACTTGTCGCAAGCCTCCGCAAGTGAGATTTTTTTTTCGTAATTTAAGAGTGCTCAAGTGTTCATCTTGTTTCTGAGTTATCCCTGCTGTTTTCCCTTGTCTTGTTTTGTCGTGCTTATTGTGCGCCGTGCCTTGGTGTATGCCAGCTTGTCGCGTCTCACTTTGGTGGAATGTGTGCCGGGCGGTGCTCGAGACAACGTCCTAACCTGTACGTCGTGTGTTTTGAGGCTTTTTGTTTTGAATGTCTACATGTATGGATTGAGCTTCGAGGGTGTACAACTCTGAAGTGGAAGAACGTTGTTGATTTTCTAGACACGTGTTGTCCACCCGTACTCACGTCCCTTTCATCCTACCCTCTCCCTCCTCCGCGTGCCGCTTTTCCCACGCTCTTGGGGCTCTTTTGGCCTGTTGCCGTTCAACGCGCACGACGGGACCAAACTTTGCCCTGAAATATCCCGTGTTTACGGTACGGTTTTTCTCCAGCGCTTTCGAAGTGGACGAGGGAGAGCAGATCCGCGTCCACCGAGGATCCGTGGACGAGGAGAGGGGGCTGCTGTCGGCGAGGGCGGAGGACAGAACGTTGTCGGAAGTTTCTTGCACGGAGGGTGTTTTGGTGGAGATCGCCAACCAGCAGGTGCGGACGGTGGTGTGCGTGGGCTTGCACAGCTCGCTGTCGTTTGTGTGGGAAGAAGTTAGGGGTGTGTGGTGCGAAGTGAAGAAGAGGCAAAGGAGGAGGGATAGAGAGAAACATAGAGGTAGGAGAGAGTGTAGTGTAGCAGCAGTGTATAGACATATATGTAAGAGGTGAGTGCCAGCTGCATGTATGTACCCAACTCATTTGTTCTGAACTAAGTCAATCCTCCCCCCACCCTTGTTTTCTTTTGTCCATCCTAATCCCGCTTTTTCTGTTGCAACACAACAGAGAGCATTGGCTGAGGCCCAGTACCTGACCACCTCGAAGTACCTCAGCCTTCAAGTACTGCTGGATGGATGTGCGTATTATATCACAAGTTTGTTGCAGGTGTTGACCTCTGGGGTGTGGGACCGACTGCATTCCGATCCACGCGGAGCCCGTCCTTCTCGTCTCTCGTCTGTTTCTCTCTCTCTCTCTCTCTCTCTCTCTCTCTCTCTCACACACACACACACACACACATTCGCGTATTGTCTCCTTCCTCGCGTGTGCCTCGTGTGGTGTGTGGGTGTCTTGTGCTTGGCCTTTCCCTTGACACAACGAACGGAGATCAGCTGGACTGTCTTCCGTCGACGAGGGAAGCGAGCAGGAATCTACGCACCGAGAGCTACACCGACCCAGCGCCTACATCAACCTCGCGACCACCTTCCTGTACATGACCAACTACTACATCGTAGGACCAACGTCGGCTGAGGTATGCGAGCGTGTAGTCTACGGTGGAGGGTGGGGGGCGTGAAGAAAATGGCTAGCTGAAGGAGGGGGTGGAGGGGTAGTGATGGGTGACCAAACAGTGGGAGTACACGTGGGGTGTCCTATACTGCTCATAGGTGGTGGCTGAAATTGCTAGCTGAGGGACTTCTTCCTGTGTGTTTGTTGGTGAGTGCCGAAGGCGCGGAGGTCGACCGTTTCGTCGTAAAACAGGTTGGATATCGCACAACAGGCTTATTTTAAGTCCATGTCACTCAGTATTTTTTTTCCCCGCCTATCAAAGCTGCCTGGCTGCTGTATCGCGCCGTGCTCTTGCTGATCGGTCGAGTTCCTCGCCCGTACGGCAAGCATGGTGCAGCACTTGGAGAGTGGGAGAGTGTTTGTTTAACACACAGCAGGACAGATGATGAGCTAGCTCACGTAAAGCTTACGGATATATCACGATGGAACATACACAGATCACCTTATTGTTTCCTTCAGATCACCATGGAGCAAACATAGACAGATAGATCACATATGCAGATGTCCTACCGATCTGTAGGGATCTGATCTGTCCTATGTTGAGAGTTTTGTCCGCCTGCTTGTTTTGCGTAGGGTACTACGCATACGCCAATAGCCAACAATTCGCGGTTTCGCGGAGCTTCTGAACGGACGCTGTGACGACGAAGAAGATAACAACGACTAAATAGTGTACGCTATGTGCTGCTTGTTGCTCGTTCTGACGATGGTGATGAAAAAGACGATGCCGACATCAATAAACGAAACCGCAAGATGCACCCACGACGACAACTATGATGATGATGATGATGATGACGATGACGTTGATAGCCGAAGACACCATACCACGAGACAAACGCCGCTCGTAACGACAACGCCAAACGTGCCGTAACGACACAAGAACGCCTCTGTTTGCCAACGAATCCCGGCCGAAACATCAGTACGCCGCGGCGCTGGGAGGGTCCCCCGCCGTGTCCGGCCTGATCATCGGCATGACTCCCATCGCGGCCTGCTTCTCCTGCCTCCTCTATTCCTGGTGAGTTATGTACGTAAGTCTTAGTAGCGGCGACAAGGGCGAACATGGGTCTAGTCGTGGTGATTTACGGTAGTCTTGCTAGTCTTACGGGGGGACGAGGGGGGACGTGGGTCACGTCCCCGCAAAAGAAACGCCTCGCGCGTGGTTTGCGTAGACCATGATGTACATGGCAGGACGACACAGCGTATAAAGGAGGTCAGCATGACTGTTTCGTTTCAACAGAGCGATCAACGGTTTGGGGGCAGCCCTTAGTTCTCCCTTTTGCTTTTTTTTATGGTACATACGCCGGTACCAGCTCTTTTCGTGTAACCACAGTTGATACGTCCTACGGGTGGCTGAAAACGTGTGTATTGCTGTGCGTTAACCCTGCATCATCCCTAACTAACCGTATATCGTTAACCCTCCCGTAACAGGTGGACTAACACCTCGTTCAGGGGCCCGCTGCTGCTGTGCAGCGCCATGCTCATCGTCGGCAACTTCCTGTACGGCTTGGTGAGTGGAGAGTGCCCCGCCCGCCCCCTCCCTCCCGCTACGAGGCTGGGCGGTGGGAAAGGGAGACGAAGGCAGAACGACTAACATTGTGGCATTTTTTTTATTGCTTGTTTGACTTGCCATCGGCTTGCGCGTCCAAAT